TTAGGCTCTCCTGAATCCGCAATTCCTTTTGCTCGAAAAATCATTATTGCGGCTTTTTTTATAAATCAAGCAGATCTTCAGGATCTGTTCCAGAAAGTAGAACTTCTGATGCATGATCAGTTTCGTACATGACAGAAGCTACTTCTCTGACTTCAGTAAACTTACAGCTTGAATGTTTCCTTTTGTACGAAAATTTGCTCACAAAATTAATTAAAACTTCATTTATGCAGCAAAACAGATATTATCAAGAAAAACTGATCCAAAAGGCATGCACTGAAGTGAATTAAAAATAAAAGAATTGGAAGCAATGAAAATTTCGTAGCAAATAAGTAAGTTGAGTATGAAAAACAAAGAATATTTTAAACATGATGTTCAATTTTTTTATGCTAAAAGATTACTCCAGCTTCCTCAATCAAGTCGACCACTCTCGCCTTAAGATCAAAAGAATCGATCACACATGGAACACCGCTACTCCCAGGGTATCGCAACTTCTCACAATAAAATCTAAAATTTCTCTTCATGAAAAAGCAATAAGATTTGCTGATCACAACTTACGACAAGACTCAGCAAAAAAATACAGGGATGTTTTTTTTTTTTTTAATTTCCAAAAATATAGTATCGCGCACTTATAATTTCTTTTAACTGAAATACCTGTCAATCGCCCTAAGTAAGACAAACCACACTGACGGAGGCATAATAGGGACACCCGTCACTGAATGAGTTTGAAACGTAGTATTTTGTAATTCACTAAATAATGCCTGTAATTTAATGCAGTTTGAGACCGAAGCGGTTGAACTGCTTAATCACTATATATAAAAACATGTTGTATATAACCAACAATATGTGATATGAAACATATGAAACAGAAATAAATCATTAGGTAACTATATAAGCAGAAGCTGCATACTTGGCTTAATTTCGTAATAAACAGATCAGTCTCACAGAAAACATGAATACAAGAAACCTGCAACGATGCTTTTGGTTGGTGCATTATGCTCGACCCATGTTGCACTCCCAAAAAAGCAGCTCGTTTGCAAAAAAATTCACAATCTCGATATTTGATACAATCACTTGGAAAATTCCGCTCTTCCACAATTGAACATGCATAACCCATTACCTATGAACTCAAATATCTGTCACACTTTAACCTTAACTTCTTAATAATTTCTTTCGAGAATACCGCTACTCCCAGGGTATCGCAACTTTTCACAATAAAATCTAAAATTTCTACAATGGTTTAGCCCTCTTTCTGCATGAATATAATTGAGATAAAATACTGAAGTTCTTCAGATTTTGAATCAGCACGTTCAGCTAAAATCTTCAATATAAATAATGAATAACATCTTTTAATAGTAATTATACGTCTGCTTGGCATTGTAAGTAACAAAAAAGATTAAAAAATTCTATGAGTAAAAAATTCAACTTCTTTCACGTCCTCTTTTGCCTTGTCACGAAATATCTTCGTTAGATGGACGTATCGTTCTGAATCGCTTATCATGTCTGGTAAGCTACCACGTACAGGAAGAACTTCGTGAGTCATGGCAAATCTCCGAAGTGCCGCTACTAATATCCAAAAACATGAGCAATTGGGTTCTTTTGCTTTGGGATGATTAAGTAATTCTTTGACTCTCTCTGGTATCTAAAAGAATTGAATCATATTTTTCATAGCAAATGACTGAATCCAAGTTGACTTATTTCTAATGAATACTAACTGTTGTTCTTCTTAATGAGCGAACTAATGCGACACGGCCTTCAAAAAAATTTTCCTCCTCAAGTGACTCTGTTTTAGGATGTGGAATCCTTAGCGACATAAAAACCTAAACAAAACATTTGACAAAGTTTTTAAATGTTTCAATTAACACCAAAGTTTGCGACCTCATCAATCCCAAAGATTTGTAGTTTTTTTTGGACTATCATATTCAAACAAGTGACTGAATTACACAAAGATAATTCACTCAGCTATTTAAATACCGCTTCAAATGTCTTCCTTTTTTCATGGTTATCGGGGAAATCATTTTGACCATATTTTTCTCGCCAAAGTTTCAGAGCTTTCATATATAAAATTAAGTATGGAGTGTGGGAATGAACATCGTACTCCATTTCTTCTAGATTTATTGACTGCAAAAATTTTTCTAAAGCAGGAATCGGACGATCAAGTCTGAAAATCATAACAGTAAACATGATAACATATAAGATAGCACTAAGTCTACTTAAAGCTTGCATAAAAAACTATGCGGCTGAAATTAGTAATTACCAAGAGAATAGAAAACTGATTTTGACAGGATATTTGTAAATTTACAAATTCACAATTATGGAAAAAACTATCCGTTATTTCATATTGCAAAGTAACGAAACCTTAAATCAGGTGGTGCATTCTCTTCATGTGTGTTGATGATTGTATGTTCTTTCACAGAAATTTGTACGAAACCAATAAGACCATATGTTCTGTAATATAATTCAATGGTGAAGCTACAAGTTGAAATGAATTCAAAAATTTATAATAAATGTTAAATAAATCAAATCTTTTGACGACATTAAAAAGGAACTCACTAAGGTCTTGATATGTAATATCATCTAATTAAGACTAATTCAATGAAAATGATACACACAAACGACCAAAAGATGACTGCTTCGTTATCTACAAGTCGAATTACCACCATAATAGCAACATTATTGAAGAATCTTTGCAGAGGATTCAGAAAAAATTTCAGACAGAAAACACTGCCTTGCAAGAACGAATGGAATGTTCCTTTCGAATAAAAGATTATTTATTCGTACAGCAGTATCGATATTCAAATTGCATCCAATTACAACAGTAAATTTTAGCAGAAAGTTTTCGTTTTCTGCAAGAACATCGTCGATATGACGAAAATCAAAGCTTCCTTTTACTGATGGATTAAGTTCCTGAAAGAAAATGTAGCACTGACAATAATGTATTTCTCTAATAACAAAACGAACAAACACTTATGAAGCTTAATTTACTTTATTGTGCAGAATTTGAGTAAAAATTATTGTATAGCATAAAACGTGAAAAACTATCATTTAATAATATTCATCATCATACCACTTTTGACAAAGTTTCCATGAAGAATACAGATCAATCTAGGAATAATTTAATTTACTTGAGACTATAAATTTTAACCTGATTGGCAGGCGTAAATACAAGGTTTTTAATAGCACCAAAAAACTTCACTGCATTACGAATCACGATTTGGACAAAAAGAAACTTTACTAAAAATATCCAAATTACTATATACCATGAGAGAACGCAAAGCAACTTCTGCTCTTGAGTGACCGATTTCATTGTCGAGAAAGAAGTTAGAACCCAAATCAGGTACTGTTATTACAGCGTTATCAATAATATGCACGGAATTGATACCAGCAAGTACTAAGTTTTTAATGATTTCACATGCCAAAGCAGATGAACCAAGAACGCAAACATTAGCACTTTCAATACAAGATTGACCCTCATCTCCCCAAAGACGAACTTGACGGTCGTAACGTATTTCGCTTGTCATCGACCTTAACAAAGAGTATGAAATCTCTTAAAAAACAACTTTCACATTATCAGCATCATAAAAAATTGACGCGTGAATTAGCAGTAACTAAGTGACCATAACACTGCAATTAGTAGCATAAATCCCAAGACCAAAAAATGATTACAATGCAAATTTTAGTTTCAAGTTTTTTAAATTGATTTTATTTTCGCGAACTTATGTGTAAAGCAATAACTTTGTAAATTGACGCAAAAAATATGCAGCGAATAGCGAGCTATCAAATCACATAATAAGTGCGAGTGAATGAATATTAAGTGGCACGAAAAGTGAAATGCATTGGAAGATCAAACAATTACTAATTCATTTCCACAACTGACTAAGTCAGAAAGCAAAAATGACAGAAGCGATTTAGCAAAGCAGTAAATATCTGTTAAAATTTAACGAATTTGTGTTTGAAATATTGCAATAAATGACTCTGACACATTTCCTAAGCTGTTTTAGAATGGCTGCGAAAAAGTTCGCCGCGGCTAATTTACTTGAATTTAAATTGCCACACACCAAGAAAATTCACAAAATGTTTAGCATATGCTTAAGCTTAAGTTATCCGCGGCTGATTTAGTTAGAGAAAAGGAATAGTGCCAAACACCACCACAACGATCAGTCTCCGGAATAAATTAAGAAGAATGGTCTTTAACGAAGGACTGTTGCATGGCAATTTTATGATACACAAGATGAAAAAATGACCAAATGAATGGGAAACGTCATAGAAAGCTGAAAAAGCATTGCAATTTTTGTTCAGTCTAACTGCGAGAGCATTACTTCTTCAGTGCTTGTTGTAGAAGCAGTCAAATCTCATCCATGAATGATTCTTCACAACACACCAACAACTTGTCTTTATCAGCTACATCGAGTGTTGACCTTGTGCTGACCTTGACTGTTGCTATTGTGAGTTGGAAGACTTTGCTAAATGTTATAAATGCAGGAAGAGCAGAAAATTTAGCGCAGGAGATGATACTGTAGTTTATCATCTCACGTGAATTGAGCGTTTCCTCGTATTGGTCCATTTTTCCTCGAAATATGTTGATAAATGCTTATGTTGAATTTATCATTTTTGTAGTGAAAAATGACAAAATTTTTCTACTACAATCTATCTGAAATTCGTTCAGTCATGCGAGTTAGATTCAATACTGAATCGCAATACTTTTCAATTCATATTGTTGAGCAAAGGAAGAAGCCCACTCTTTACTTGCAGAAGAAGCGTAACCTTTTAAAGGATATGTATTGCGAGGGAGATAATAATAAGCTCAAGCCTCATGACAGTAAAGTTAAGTTAGCTAAGTAAATCAGTTTGAACTGAATCCCTCCGTTATTACTTGCATAGAACTAAAGGCAAGTTAAACATGAAAGATATTGTTGTGTGGGAATTTGTGAGCAGCACTTTCATCATTTATTCAGTCGTTTATTTAATGGCTAAAAAATGAAATTTGAAAAAAAGGAAATTAGCAAAAACCAACGGAACATATATCTATCTATCAATCTATCAATCTATCTATCAACCTATCTATCAATCCAACTACCCATCTATCAATCTATCAATCTATCTATCTGTTTATCTATCTGTGTATCTATCACTGCTTATTTCTAGTGGCTAATGCAAGTTGAAGGAATAGATCGATTTTCGAGAAGTTTTTGAGAAGTAAGCCATGGTATTGGGGATGTCACTCGATAAGGCTAACGTAGTAAGTGCAGAAGAACATTTGGCTTGAGGGAAACGGAAATGCTGTGATGTTGTCATTGTTTTCACTGCTTTTTGCTCTTATCCTTTCTCGATGCCAAATTTGTGCACAATTATGCTTTGAATATTTTTTAGACAAAAAACTGCGACTTTTTACTTCTCTCTTCAAACTCAGTGCTTACATTGCTTATTGTCCATCATAAACGCTTATCATAAATCAAAATTTTGTCTGAAAAACCAATTAGTTCGATTTATCATTCTTATTTCAAATACATGGAATGAAGTGATAAATATATGCTATGACCGGTAAAATGCTTGAATCTTCAAGAATTATTGATCGATTGCAAGCAATTTTAGTTCAGATTTTTTCTTCCTAACTTATATGGGATAATTAAGTATTACCGACACGTGTCACGCACATGCAATATTCAAATTAAATATTGCAAAAAATGTATGTTGAAGTAGATCAAGAATATTTCTTGCTTAGTTTACGGACAAAGTAAAGTAATTATTGATTTTAACCGAAATTTTAAAACTTTAAAGTGCTAAATTTAAGGATAATTACTTATCGTGTAAGTAAAGTATTCATTTGTAATGGTTTGGCTTACTACTATGAAAAATTCGAAATATGATGTCTTGAATGATTTAGTTTTGAACAATTTGGATAGCAATCAGAACAAGAAGTGCCACACGTGGAAAGCTTCGCTTTTTATGATTTTGCTGACTCTTTGCTACATCTGTTTTGCTGTTGCTGTCATTGGACAGGAATTAACAGCGCAATACAGCAAATATGGAATTCCTCTGAATTACACGTAAATATTACTTATCAATTTACAATGTATTGACAGGCACTTTTTTTGACTCAACTCATCACAGTTCTGATCTGAAAATATGAATGACTTATTTCAGCAGCTGAATAGAAATTCTGAACATATTATGTCTTACTATTGTGGTCAAGTCAAGAGTATTTGATGAGATTTGAACATTATATTGTAATGATAAGATTTAGTAGTGTAATATTTGATTTTGCATCACAAATAATACTTCGCAAATTAATACTATGCTATGTTTTTGTTTTAATATCTCAAAAATTATAACAGTCCTTTTGATTTATGAAGTGAATTTAGTGCGCAAGACAATTTTTGCCAGCATTATGTCCCTTTACTACTCATAAAGAAAACAAATTAGGGCACAGGTTTGCATTCGAATTTGCATTTCACATATAAATAATGCCTCATTTCATTTTAAATATATTATGTTATTGTTATTACGGATAAGATTATGCAAAAAAGGCAAAAAAGCTTAAGAAATATAATCTCTAGTGTGTCTAAATATGTCAGCTGATTAATTCAGATATTTTGATTCATGTCACTCTGTCCACGGCAATTTAAGGTTTTCACTACACGATGAACCGTCTGAATTTGGCCGAGATGAAGAATTAGAAGAAGCGCAAAGTGCACTGAGTTGGGAAAAGAAAGCAGGTGGGGAATGCGCAAATGATGCAGTGATAATTACCGAAATATTACGCGGTTATGACAAATTCAAAATACCTGGTGGAAGTGTACAAGTTTCTGTTGAGGTATGATTTATTGCTTGGTACTCTTAGAATGAATAGATGAAAAAATGTTAAAGCTTTCGTTTCATTCGAAACTTAAATTTCATTTTTACAAGTTTTAAGTCCTAATTTATAGCTTTTAATTAAAATTGTTGCTTAATGAAGCTTGAAAGATATCTGCTATGTTGTCGCT